GCAGTAATTGGCCGCTAATGCACAGGACTGCCTCGCTATTCTGCCGTCCTTATTCTTTCTCTTCCTTCTCAGGGAATGCAAGGGCATGCGCGACTGACATGAGTGCAGGTGCAGTAACCTTCGTCTGTGTGTCGTGTGTGTCTGTGTGTGTCTGCCATGCAGTGCATCCACGACATCAGCACCGAATCAGGCCTTCGAGCCCGATGCCCCCTGTGCCAGGTGCTCCTGACCATATAAGTTGTATTTGTGCTTACAAACCATTGCACACCATGACCACATCTCCTTCCCCGCCGGCGGAAAATCGGGCTCCGCGGGAATCCTCATGTCCACCTGCGACAGCACATGCATATCACATTGCATCCAATCGCACCCTAAACCTTAAACCCTATATAGCCCACAGACCTTCGCCTTCGGCACCTTTGTGATCTTCGCGTCCTGTCCGGGGAATATACTCTATATGTTATATCCAAAATAAAGAGGCTTGTGATCTTAGGCACTGGCTCCCTTCTGTGCCTTTTTGTTCGCACCCTCCTGCAAACGGAAAAGGAGGAGGGTGTCAAAAAAAGAAACACAACATTCTCCTCCCGCAGAAGCCACTTTTTCTTCGGGGCCGATCTGGTCTTCTCCTGCAGCCAGAATTATATATAATTGTGTTACATATAGCGAGCCTATATACGTTATATAGGGTCCCGGGGTTTGGATTTAGATGTCCGAAATTACAATATTTGTTTCTTACATTTATGTAGATATAGATACACACACACACACATAGACGTGACACTCTCGTGTGCAGGGCAACAAGCTCGCATGCAGTGATCTACAAAGGCGGGATGGAAAGCCTTCGGCTTCATGTACGTGGGGCCAATCTCCAGCTCCACTTCCACGTCCTGACAAAACACATATAAGAAAGACTCATAAAGCGACTATATATGCCGGCTCCTCCATTTCCTCCCCAGCATTTGCCTGCCAACGTGCATGCAAATACAGGGCTCGACACTTGGCGGTTTTCGTGGCTTGGCCTCGTTCGGCACCAAAACGACCTTCTGCCGTTCCTGCATGCAGGGCTGAATTGAGTACTTCGTTAAGCGATGGAATCGGCGCCTCCGCCTCCACGTCGAAATCACCCTGGCAACATGCATGCATGGAGGGCACCAGACGTAGCTTGGTGTTTCAAGAGGTGTCCTCGAGGCGAAGGGTGCTGGCCACCCACTTGTTGTCGAAGTCCAGGACTTCCCAGCCTGGATTTCGGAACGAACTCTGTCATGTATCGATATGTATGTATACACGAAACTCCGAGTGGATGACCTTCCTTGAGTGGCTTCTCAGCACCCTTGTCAGGGTGCCGGAAGAGGCACCCGCCTGCAAGAGATATATTGTTAAAAAAAAATGAATTCCGAGACGGACAGCCCGACCTCCGTCCTTGGAGAGGATCCTCCACCCCTTTCCTCTGGCCCAGCGAAGCTCACCGGACTCGTTCGCCCATTCCCCCTGCAATTGTACAAGTACAACTCCCTTCCCGACAACCAGCAACGTGAAACACAAGAAGCCTCCTTGGTCTCCTCGAAACCTCCCAAGAGCTCGGCGAGGCTGAAGGATGCCCAGTCCACCGTGTCCTGCACGAAAAAAATATGAAGTCCATGCAAGCGAACGAACAAGGCCGGTCGATCCTCGGTCACATCTCCGATGGAGAAGCGGATCATGGCCACCCAAAAAAAGCTATAGGGTCTGCAAGACACGTTTGCGTTGCATTGCAGTGCACTGCGGGTGCATGCTGCTGGCATGCGAGCATCATATAATACATGTGGTACGTGTCTGTATGTCTGCGCACAAATGCCCTCGGAAAACAGGCGAAGCCATGCCTACACAAAACTTTGCTCGGAGCCTGCATGCACCATTGCACCAAGACCAAGACGTTGTATCCTGACATGATCAACAGCCATCAGTCAAGCTTGCAGGACAGTTGCGAATCGCAAAAACCAGGCACACCCCGCTAAACCCAACTGCTGACGTGGAGCTGGTGATTTGTAGACTGCAGTTCTTCTTAGGAAGAGAAGCAAGCATGGAGAAGACAACAGCACTTTCTTGATTTCCAGCATGCGCATGAGCTACCAGCCGGGATTGCATCATGTTCGTGCTTGTATAGGCCGGCGAGCATTGCCCTGCCGGCGAAACAGCTGGCTGCATGCTCTAGGCACCCCTACTCTTTCTCTTGGCTCCTCGGGGCTCCTTGCTCTCGGAGTTCACAAAGCCAGCTTTCAAGTGTCGCAAGTTCGCCTCTGTAAGTTCAAACCACAAAGTCTGACTGCCAAGCCCTTCGAAGAGAACCTTTGCTGTGGGAGTCGGGCCACCTTCCTCGATGGCAGGCAACTGCATGTCGATGTAATACGGGGCGTATTGTTGATGTTTGGCAGCTGTGGCTTTGAAACTCTTGAAGACCTTCTTGTTTTGGGGTGGGGTGTCCTCTTGGTCGTCTTCGCTTTGCAGGCGTTTTTGAATGACTTCGTTGAATGTCGTCTGTCTCTGGGTCATCAAGTCATCGAAGAATTTGCTGTTCCAGGACCGCCTATCCTTGTCCTTCCGGAGATCCTCGGACCGGAGATCTAGGGCCTTGCCGAACACAAATTTCGTGAAGCCTCTGTCCCACCTGCCGTTCACCGAAAACCAAACCATGCCCTCTTCGTTCTTCTGAGTCGGGATCCACTGCTCGCCCTTCCCATATATGACGACGGTCTTTGTGCATAGTCGAACGTCACCGTCATCTTCATGTTCGGAACCATCAGCCATGTCGACGGGAGGTGTGTGCACAAGAGCTCAACTACACATTTACAAGCTGTAACATTTCATGCAAGGATTCGCTCATGCACATGCAAGCACTGCAAGTGGATGCGACTTTGCCAATGACAGCAGACCACAACATCGATCACATATGGCACTTTTTGCACAGCTGCTAAAATGCTGCCATCCTGTACCCGTGTCATGAAGATCGGTGTCTTGCCCAGGCGAACATGGTGTATACAATGCTTCCAGAAAAGCCATCATGTGCATGATTGCGCATCTGATATACATATACCCTGGTGGCTGTGCCTCTCAGGGCTCTGCCGGAGCCTTCGAGCGCATTCTCTTGGCCGGTTTCGGAGAGTCTGAATCGAGTGGCATAAGCGGAACTTCAACCTTGGGCTTATAGATGAAAAGGCTCTCGCCCTCAGCGATCTCCCGATGATTCTTGAGCACGGGTAGCTGGATCTTGCTCATTCGTTGACTCTTGATGTAAGAGACTTCCATGTTGCCGACATCCTCGTCATGAGTGGTCTGAATCATGAAGGCTAAGTTCGCAAAGCCGGGGTCGCCCTCCGCTTTCGGAAGCACCAGCATCGGAGCCGACCAGAAATGCATATCAGCCACAGGTGGTAAGACTTCAAAGCAGTCATCGGGCACCTTGGCCCATGCTTCAACTGCAAGCTGCATGGGACCAGAGTGAGTTTCATCTTGGGAATTTTCCCAACTGCCACAACCTTCTTCTGGGGCATCAAGTGCATGTGTAGCCGTGCAAGCATGCTGTTAGCTTCGTGCTTAGCCTGCAGATCGAACATATCAAGCATCATGATGGCCTGCATTTGCTGCTTCTCGAAATCCGGATGCTTGCTGGGCGCGTATAGCAAAACATCCGGGATCAGCACTGGTTCAGGCTTCGGTGTGAAGACTGTCCAATCACCGCCGAGAAACACGTCCAGCACGACCTTGCCTAGGTTGCCGTCGGGCTGCTTCAATTGCACTTTGCCTCCTTGGCATGCTACGATCTGGCCGGACTGCCCGTCGCTCTTCCTTCTGCACCATGATCCAACCTTGAAGCCTGCATCGGGTTGCTTAACCGTCCCATCTGGGTTGAGCTCCCTCATCGCAACGACCTTGGGGCTGGAAGTGTCCTCGACGGCCTTCTGTTGCATGGCATGAGCCTCCCATGGGGAGTCCACGTGCTGCCCGCAAATCCCTCGCATGATAACGACGACATCGTGGGCCAAAGCCTCCTTGGAAGAGTACTGCCTCACGTCCACGGGCAGCTTCAAGACAAAGCCAATCAAGTGCATGTCAGCGAAGCTGAGTGCAGTGATCAATTCCGGCTTGGCAAGAAGGTCTTTCCCCTTATTGGGTAGCCCTTCAACGAGTTGTCGCCATTGATGCATGATGCCGTCTGCGGCCCGGACCTCGGTCAACATGTCCTTGTGCATCATCCTCTTAGCATCGGCTGCCTGTGCCACTTCCTTGGCATATGCGAGCTTCACCTGAGTATGTCTATTTTACAAATTAAAAATCATGTGAACATGTTATGTCTATATATTATACACGTGCAACAACATGCTATGCATGATGATCAAGGGGCAAGTGCATGTTGTGCCCTCGAGAACTGGTTGGTACCCTTGCTGATCTTCTCCCAAAAGTCGGCTCCCAAACTGCGGGTGCTTGGCTAGTGTCTTCTGACAAAGGCCTCGGTCTCATCCATGAGAAACGGAGTCCGCCCTCCGCCGTGCTTGAGGGCGAATGTGTAAAGGTTCGGCAGGGCTTTGAAGTGCACGGTTTTCCCAGTCGTAACTTTCTTTCTGATGGAGAGGAAATCGACATGCTTCGTGTGGTTCGACTCGGTCACCCAAAGCCCGTGGAGACGTCGCATCAGCTGGAGCTCGTGCTCCTGCCTTTGCATGGTAGCATTTCCTGTCCGTTGAATCATGCTCAACAGATGAGGCAGGTGCATCGCGGCTTCCTTCCTCAGGACCTTCCAGTTGACCCCGTGCGTTGCCGCCCGGTAGAAGGCTTCGTCCTTCTTTCGCAAGAGCTCAAGGTTGAGTTTGCCGTCATGGCAGATGGATTCATCTCCATCATGGGAGATTTCCTGGCCATGAGATCCTGCCAGACTGAGGCATTTGATGGCAGATGGGTCGAAGTGGCCCAACATTCCGTGAGCAGCCTGAAAGAAGGTGCTGTTCCACACAATCTCCTCGCCGTCTCGAGGTTCGACTCCCACGGCATGGACTCGTTGATCCAAAAATCCGGCTGCTAGGATGTCGCTCAAAAGCTCATGAACATCGACTGCATTCACACCGCTGCCGTCTCTGTTGAGCGGGCTAATGCCCACCATTGACGGGTGGAGTGTGATGTTGTAAACGAAACCTCTGGACTCCAGCAAGTGGAGTCAGTCGTGGACACTCTTCACAAGGCCCTCGCCCTCCTTCGCCACCTCAAGGATGGGTTGGCACCGCCGGATGAGATCTGCATCCATTGCGAGAAACAACGGAAGCAGGAAGTTCAAAGCTGGCAAAAGAAACACAAAGTGTGAAGCTTGAGCTGCAACACATGCACGCATGTCATCATGGTATATATGCATGTCATCATGCTGCCGACGAGCAGATGCCCTGCCGGCGCTTCAAACTCAATGCGCGAAGCAAACTTTTCAGATTTCTCATGAAACTTGCACTGCTTGCATGCATGCACAGCAGCAAAGGAGCTGCTTGAAAAAAACGTGCATGGACAGTCTCAATGCAGAAATATGTGCATCTTATGTGGGCTTCGCAGACATGGCTCTCCCGTCGTATGTCGACTGGGGAGCTCAGTCTGTATCTCAGAGAGTTCTTGGTTGCCAGCCACATTGAGATTCCTGCCGACTCCCGCATCAGCAGTCACAGCATGAAGGCCACTTTTCTTAGTTGGCTGGCTAAGTTTGGAGGCGTTTCTCTCGAGGATCGCCGCATTGCCGGCCACCACCTTGACCCCGATTCGCGCTCCCCGCTAACCTACAGTCGTGATGAGCTGTGTCGGTTGATGAAAATCTTCGAGGACATCCTGAAAGCCATCCGAGCGGGTTCTTTTAGGCCTGATGACAGTCGCGTGATGCGTTTGGCTGTTATGATCCAGGCATCTTCAGGACCTCAGCTTCAGGAAAAGATCCTTGATGGTGACCCTCAAGTCTCCGACTCGGAGGCTGGTGACTCCGACATCAGTCCCGAAGATTTGGAGGCCCGCTCTGGGGGCGTGCTTTTGGGCGAGGCCCTTACTGCAGACCAGGTCTCGACTGTTTACAGCAAGATGCATATTTACAGTCGTACAGTGCACATACAGTCTGCAGAGGGAGCCATATTTTTGTGTGGGCGACCAATCACCCGCAATTTTGACGAGCTTGACAAGGCAGTACCAGCCTCTGACTTGCTTGTGTGTAAGCGGTGCAGCCGCTCTTATCGTTCCGGCCAACCTGGCCACTGGACTACCGTTCCCTGAGCAAAACGGGTCCAACTGTGCTGCTTTGCAAGCTGCCGACTGGGTATCCGGAGATCTCCAAGCCCGTTGAGTCGGCGTGGAATGGTGCCCAGCCGCGTCCTGTGATGTGTGCAACGTTATGTGGGCAGCGGCGGTATCCGGGGCATCTTCACCCCAAGCCGTCCGCTGCTTAGATGCCCTGACCACAAGCTGTTGTTACATATATGCGGTATCTGGCGCCTTTCCCGAACCTTGTGTGACTGTGCTCGTATGCAATCTTTGCCGCCGTGACGCATGTGACGCACAAGTGAATATCAAAGCCCACCTGGGCCAGCACTCTACCCATGCACTGCTGTGAACTCCAATGTGACAGCACCCTGTTGTTGATGGCCTCGGGTATTTGGTTCTGCCTAGCCCCTTACTGGGCCTCTTCAAAACATGACAGCTGTGTTTGTGACTGCAGTGGCATGCGGTTTCCGGGTGTTGTCCTTCAGCTGCGACAATGCACCTACGTCCATTGCAGTTTTGTTCAAGGCGTTAGCTGTGCACACCATGTCCAGCCTAGACAGCAAGGCCGCTTTCAAGGCCCGTGCCCTGGAGCTCAATTTCCCCGAGGCCGTGTTGGCTAAGCTGGCGGCCATCAATGTGGACACGTTCGGTGCCCTGGCCTTCATTGGTCCTTTGCAGGCCCACCACCGACGAGGGCCCGCTCATTGCGACTCTGAAGCGGGCCTTGGGTACCCCGCCCGACGATGGCGTTCTCAGTGTCGCTCGACGTCTTTGGTTCGAGAGTACTACTCAGGCGCTGGCCGAGATGCGGGGCAAGGTGGAGCGAACCGACGCTTCCGAGCCGCTCAGGATGCCCTTGGCGGAGCGCGCTCAGCGCATTTCTGCCCTTCAGCAACGACTTGTCGGCATTCATTGGACTGTGGACATTGAGCCTTCCCATAAGCTGCAGGACCTCGTAGCTCAGATGGTCACCGATCAATCTTTGGTATGGATTCCCTGGGATCGCCTCACTAGCAGGGCTTTGGAACTCACTGCTGAGAAGCTTGATCAAACTGTCAGCTTCGACTCCTCCGGCAACCTCAAACTGGTCAAGCGCTCAGCCGATCCTTCTTGCAGCACCACCGGGGAGTATGCAGTGAAGCTAGCTTTGCAACGGCGCAGTTTAGCTTTTGAGCTCGGACGCATTTGCCGTTACGAGTATCTTGAAGCCTGGCATGATCAGCTGTTGCAGATTCACATGCGCCAGCAGCCCACCGGGCACCAGAGAGTCTCGTTAAACCAGTTGCGGGAGGCCGACAAGATGCTTTGGACCCGTATCGCGGAGGACACTCGAGGAGCGCTTTCTCTTCGTCCGGATGGCAGCTATCCCTTCGAGGTCTCTCTGGCCAAGTGGAAAGATCACGCTCAGGTGCAGTGCTACTTTGATGCCTCTGCTTCGTGCGCTTCCCTCCGCTCCCAGCTTGCCGCCTCCTCCCGACAAAGGAAACGGTCGCGGCAAGCCCCAAAAGACGCCTTTCAAGGACATCAAGAAGGATAACCCAAGCCGATGCTGCACTTTTGTCCCGCTGGAATAAGATGACTGATGTGCTTTTTCATAACTGCATGAAGGGAGGTCTGCGTCCCAAGCACAGTCGTTTCCGCTGCGCAGGCAAACTTTTGTGTAGCGTGGCAGTCGAATGCGACCACTCACATGAGCATGCTCCTTACTTGACTTACCGAGACGGCTCTCAGTGGCGTTTCAGCACGGCTGAGGAAGCTGAGTACCCAGCCGCCTTGTGTCAGGAGATGGCTGCATTGCTTGCTAAGGCCGCTGATCTCCCGCCGCAGTTGGAGCCTCCTTCCGGACCCCGAGCTCCTTGGCCCCAACAAAGGGGCTCCCGTAGGCTGTTGTCGGAGTTCAAGGAGTTCCGCGATACGGCCCCGCCCGACAGACCTTTTCAGGAATTCACCTCAGGTTTAGGGGGTAGTCCCGGGAGGTTTGGGGTTTATAGGACACCCACCGAGTTCTTGGATTGTGCCCTGCAGCTGAACCATCCTTTTGATACACAACACTGTGTCCCCGATGCAGTCAAGAAGAACATCTTCCGGAGGCTCACTGAAGGGCCGTCTGCTTTTGCCAGTGACAGGGTCAAACTGTACAACAAGCTTAACCAGATGGAAAAGGAGCTCCGCTATGAAGAGGCCCGGCTGCACTCCACTTTCCCCGACCATGCCAGGGAAGTGGTCAAAGGGAAGAACTTGCTGCTTTGGGCACAACTCTTGAAAGAGACTGCGTTTCCGGATGAAGGAGTTTTCGAGCTTATGAAGGGAGTGGACTTGGTGGGGAAACCCGACAAGTCGCCGCTCTTCGATACCAAGGAGGTGCCTGCAAAATCTACAGAGGCGCTTCTTCTTGAATCAGCTTCTTGGAGGCGCGAACGCCTGAAGGCGAAGGATCCTCATAAAGGCGACATGGAAGCCACGATCCAGCTTTGGGAATGCACCTTGAAGGACAGAGACAACGGATTCTTGAAAGGACCCTTTCTTGACGAGGAGGCAGTGAAGCAACACCTTGGTGTCGAGGAATTTGTCTGCTCCAGGCGGTTTGTCATAGAGCAAGGCGCGCCAGAGAATCTTAAGCTCAGACCGATTGACAACTACAAAGAAGGAGGCATCAACGAAGCTTACCACAGCTTGGAGAAGTTGGCCCTCTTCGATGTCAACTGGATGACTGCCATGGCAACGTACATTGCTCGAGTCTCAGACACGTCATCGGACATAGAAATCGTCTTGAGTACCGGAGAAGTCTTGAGAGGAAAACTTCATCAGTCTTGGAAAAGCAAGAAACCTGTTTGGCAAGGGCGCACTTTGGATTTGGAAAAGGCCTACCGCCAAGTGCCTCTCTCCAGTGCGTCCCTGAAGCTTGGAGTCGTGATGGTCACCGATCCCAACAGCGGAAGGCCCTGCTACTTCGTGGCGCAGAGCCTGCCGTTCGGTGCTGCATCTTCAGTGTTTGCATTCAACAGACTGTCTAGGTCAATCCTGCATTTAAGCTGGAACCTGGTGGGCATGGTCGCTGGATGCTTTTACGATGACTTCCCGCTTCTTGAGATTCAATCGGGTGCCAAGCTGGCTTCGGAGTCCTTCGAACATCTGCTCAGGAAGATCGGATGGAAGTATTCAACCGACCCAGACAAGTCGCATGGCTTCGAAGAGACTTTCGATCTCCTTGGGGTCAGGCTTACCACTCGTGACATCGCCAATGGTGTGGTCAGTTTGCAGAACAGGACATCGAGGGTGGAGAAGATGAAAGATGCCTTTGTCAGATTGGGGCTCAGTGGAAAGTGGACCATACGGGAGATCCAATCGCTTCAGGGCCAAGTCAACTTCGCTTTGGGCTTTGCTTCGGGAAGAGCTTTGAAACTTCTGCAACGTGCACTGGGCAGCTTCATTCGTGATCCCGGTGCTCGCGCTGCTGAAGACCTTCGAGCGCTTTGCAGTTTCGGCATCAAGCTTTTGGACGAGTGCAGGCCGCGAGTTTTTGGTTGCAGGGGGCCGGAACAACCCGTCTTGATCTTCACCGATGCTGCCTACGAGAAAGGCAAAGCATCATACGGGATCGTGCTGATCGATGCCTTCACTTCAACGCGTCTGGTGGGGGGCGGAAACATCCCGGATGATTTGGTGAACTTCTGGAAGCTTGACAGTCCAGAGCAAGTGATAGCTCAGGCCGAAGCTTATGCTGTAGTTCTTGGGCGACTCGTCATGCGGAGCTTCATTCATGGACGGCGAGTTCTTTACTTCGTGGAGAATGAAGGTGCGAGAGAAGTTCTTGTAAAAGGAGCCAGCCGATCCCGCACGCTGCTTCTTCTGGGGAGTCTCTTCTTCGAGATGGAAAATCTTGATCAAAGTCTTACTTGGCTGGAACGTGTGGCATCGGCGAGCAACGTGGCAGATGCTCCGAGCAGAGGCGAGATTCGTGAAACTGCTGCGATGATCGGCGGAAGTGTGATTGACCTTGAAGCTGAAAGCATCAAGTTATCGGAGGAGTGCAAATCTACTGTACAGATACCTTGGAAGCTGCTCAAATGAGGACCGGTCACTTTTAAAGGGGGTTATGCGTGTTGGGGCAGAATCGGTATCTAGCACATGGAGCAAGTGCGCAACTTAACGCATTCACGCTCGTGCCTCAACCGAAATCTCCGGATGCATTAGGAAGCATCTTCTTCGAAACATCCGACATGCCTCGCTTTGACGAACCCCTGACCGTGAAAAAAGAGAGCGCTCTTCCGAGGACTTATTTCATAACTTATATACGAATGTTTCAA